CCATCTTCGGCCGCGTCAAGAGCGGCCTGAGTGTCGTCAAGAGGATGGGGCTCGTCAAGACGGGCCCCGAGGACAGGCCGCTGCAGGAGGTCAAGATCGTCCGGGCGAGTGTCATTGAGGAGGGTGAGCCGGAGGAGTGATGGGAAGATGGGCGCACGGAGCGAGACAGATACTGAGATACCTTTGGAGAAACGGGCGTTTATGGCGTTGGCGGTTGCGAATCTAGACTGCTTCGGGCGTCTGAGGATATGAAAAGCATCGTGACAAACCTATCTTAGGCAGCATAGAATGGGGGTAGTATATAAGATCTCCTGCCGTTGGTGAATAAAAGGACCAAAAAGGAAAAAGATACCAAAGACGACAAAATAATGTCAAAATGACAAAACGAGCGACCCAGCGCATTAGACCCAAGGGCAGACGGGAATTTCGAAGGATTGAAGTCCCACGCTGGGAAGGCCGAGTAGCCTCAGAAGGAAGCCGAACAACTGTTCGACCACCGACCTCAACGGTAGCAGCAAGGCATTGTGCAACTGATAAGCCTTCCTGTCTTCTTGCGCTGTGAGGCAGGACCGGCCCTCTTGGGCTGCTCCTTCCTCACTGCCTCAAAGCAAACTCGGCACCGTCACTTGGTTATCCACACGCATTAAATATTAGCCAGCTCAATCAAGATTACCAATCACAAAATGATGAGGAAAAGAGGGGGATGAAGACGGCATGACACCTCAGTGTCTTCTCCAAGTCATGAGCACATTTTGATCCATCTGGCAGAGTCTAGTGTCAGTCCCGGGAAGCTGCAACGCAGGATGCTGTCGACTGGCCAGCGTATTGCCTCAATCATTTACAGATATTTCCAGCTCTCGTTTTCCAAGAAGTCAAAGCATGCATCAGTAGACTCAAGTTACGCGTAATCAATGGGGAATCAATATCATTGAGTCAATGCCTATAAAATAACCGCAGTCTCTCTAACGCCGTCATCCGCCTTGCCAGGTGATGCAGAAGAATTGTACGGGATAAGCCACCCCCACTCCTACCCAACGAACTCCCAGTTCATGCAATGTTGTTGAGTGTGAAGGTGTGTGTGTATCAAGAGCGTCTGTTGTACTGCGGTGCCAATCTTTGTTTGAATACAAGATGATGTGTCGGTCTGGAACCCGACGGTTGATCAGTTTGCTGATCTGATTTTGGCTCCGGTGTTTCCAATGTTCCGGGATGAGCGATGTCTTGTTTCTGGTTTGATACTGAACCAGCGGGCATGTTGAAGAGAATAAAGGGATAATGTAGATGTTAAATGGTTGTTACCAGCAGCGTCTCTTCTTGGACTGGTCGTTGATCTTGTCTGGGGGTCTCTTTTGACCCTTGGTAGCAGATTCATCGATCGTTCTCTTCGATATCTTATTGGTGTTCGAAATAGACGGTGACGAAAAAGGTCCAGGCGAAGGTGTCGGCGGCAGATGACGTTTACCGGAACCAGTTGGAGGATTGCTTCTTGGAACAGACTGAGGCTCGGGTTCCGATACGGCGGCAAAGTCAGAGCTTTGCTGGAAGCCTGAGCCGGAGCGGGAGCTAGGGGTTTTCAGCGCTCCACGGCCAGTTGTGCCGCCAAGCCTCTAGTTTGGCGGCGACGACAACGTGCCGGACGATTCGGACTCTGCATCTTCGGTTCTACCATTGCCATTCTTCGACAGCGGCGACGATAAGGGCGGCTTCGCGGCGCCAAGCTTCAACTTCTTAGCCGGGCTGATGCCTTTGCCCTCCTTAGACTCCTTCTTCTCCTTCTTAGGGGCGACCTCGACAGTGGAATTGTCATCGTCGTCGCCCACCTTCGATTCGTGGCTCAGCAGTGAGTTGGTCTTGACCTTGTCTTTCTTGGGACCCTTAGTCTTGAGAATCACCTTCTTCGTCATGACCGTTGGCTTCATCTTCTTCTTCTTATGGCTGTTTTCCGATTCCTCGTCTTCCTCCGGTGCCGCCACTTCCTCACTGTCGCGCTTCTTTGGGCTCGAGGCTCGTGATGCAGGCGCTGGTGTCGCCTTCTGGCTCGATGGGGGTGTTCCGTCGTTCTGGCTTGCGCCGTTACTGCCGTTTGAAATCTTGGCTGCCGCAGCGCGACTCGCGTTACGGCCGCTGTTACCGATACACGATCCCATGTGGTTGTTGAGTCTCGTGACGAGGATGCATCGCTTGCACTTGCTGCATGTGGCTGACGGGAACGAAAGCACATTGGCAGGGCGCCCTTCTCCGGGGGCGGGAGACTCGATGTTCGGGTCGGGCTTCATGTCCTTCTTCTTCTTGCCTCTTCCAGGGCCCGGCTGAACCCAGGTCTGCCCGTAGATGTCGTAGCCAGGCTTGTCGATGTAAGGGTGTTTCTTGCAGTAGATGACGCTCGGATCGGGCTTTCTCGCCCCCTTGCCGTCGGTCGGGTAGAGCAATCGAGGCAGGTGGCATCTCGGGCAGAGAATCTCGGTCGTCGTCTTCAAGGGATTGCCTTTGAGCATCACCTTACCGTCTTCGTATATCGCCGCATCGGTTTCGATCCGCACATCGGGTTTCGAGTCAGGCGTCGAGCTTTCTGATGCATCGGAAGCCAGCTTCTCGACACGGATCGCGGCCGTGGTGGCCCTCGCCATTTTCTCGTCGCGGTGCACCTTGAGCAGGAGGTCGTGAACGATATTGTACATTAAGTCGTCGAGCACCGAATGAGCCTTCGCGCCGAAATTGTCAGCATCATATCATTCCACCGGCGGCATGTCGCGGTGGTGTTAATTTGCGATCGAGATGGCTGGGTGCACCATCCGCCAAGTTCGAGGCAGGGCGAGCACTTACAAGATTCTCCATGCTGCCAGCATCGTCGGGAGCGACGATTACTCCAGCCTTGCCCGTGTTGGAAGCCATCTCTCCAAGGGCCGGTCGGACGGCGCACAAAGGCTGAGGGGAGAAATTGGGGGTGGTGATGGCAGCCTCAGAGGGCGAAGCTTTGTGGTCGTGTGTGCAGGTTTGTGGAATCTGAATCGGGTTGACGGGTAACTAAAATAGGTGCCACACGGGCTGACGAGGGGGCAGCGGTAGCAGTGTGAGATGAGGTCAAGCTGGAAGAGTTGGCGGCCAAAAAAAAAAAGTTTCGGAACCTTGCTTGCTGAAGTAATAAGGGTGCAACGCCGCGGGTTTGCAAGGAGGTGGTATGTATCGGCGATAATTATTAGCAGCGGCAGGCGACCAGCGACTGACTTGACAATTGGGAAGCACGAGCCTCGTGTCGACCGCTCAGCTACTAAGGCGACTCTTGGTCGTTCGTCTCTGCGGACAAGGATCCTAATCCGAATCAGGCACTGGTACGGTTAGGGATCTGAACGGTTGTCACCGGTCCGGAGAAGTTGTTGAGTGGAAGAGACTTGGGGAAACCGGAGCGGAGGGAAGATTTGAAGATGTGAAAATAGCAAAATGGAAGGTCAAGAAATGGTCAGTTTTTCCGGAGCAGAAATTGCCAAGCCAAGGGAACAGACGGAGAAGAACAAGGCAGGCGGAATTGAAGGTACAAACGGGGAACTGCCCGAACGCAACTTCCCAGAACTGTCGACATTTGATTGATCTAAGCGGTCCACTGGGCAGCAGCTTTACAAGAGCTCAAACCGCTTCTTGTCCACCAACTGGTATTGCATGGTACCTTTAACTTGAGTTACAGGTACCTCAACTGCCTTTACCTAAAGTGCATTGCAAGCATCCATCATTGGCTTTCCGATGTGCTCTTTGATGCGGAAGGGCGATTTGACGGTTTAGCGGTTCAATCAGCGACTTACACCGCATCACTCTCTACTGCAACTGCCCAAACGAAGACACCAAGAGCGCCTTAGCTGCATCTCATCGTAAGATGGCCACCTCATCCGTTCAGAGTTGCATCGGGCCAGCTTCAACTCCAAGTCATGGGTTAGTTGAAGTGGCTGCAGAAACAGCATGATACCCGCCCCGGGCCATCGGATTCGGTCTGCGAACTCAGGCCCATCAGCGTATGCATGTGCCTGAGTTAGCTCCCCTTTTAGGGACTTGACCCCAGGCCAACCTCGCGCCTCACGATAACACCCCGGGCGGCAGAAACCATAGAGCACCGGTTTCTCGGAGAAAGTCTTGACCGCCCGTGCAGCACGTAATCCGCCGCACTGCATCATCCATCACCAGCAGAAAGCCTCCCTGTCTGTCCAAAGTAAGGGGGCTCAACAACCAGCCTCACTTGTCAACGGCCTGGAGCTTGGGGCGCTGACTTGCTCCGGGAGTGGACACATATCTGTTGGCTGGCACTAAACCAAAACCCTTGTGTTAGCGACTACGAGCTGGACCATTCCATCTTTCTCCCCTGCCGGCCCAGTCCGCCCGAATCTGGGATCTCTGATGAACTGAAGAGTGTCGACCTCAGGCAAGCGCCATTGAGTCGGTCAGGTGGGGCCGGTTGCCGTCGGCTCGTTCCCTGCATCAGCGCATCTCACTCTGCGGCGCTCGACTCCTTCCCTCACTGGAAATTATTGGCTTTAGGAGGCACCCGTGGTAAGAGCACCTGTCTCTGAACCTTCCCGCCATCGTCACAAGGGTCACCACCACCACCCTCAGGTTCCCCGGCCTGTCCAACCAGCGCCCGCCCCTTCCCGCAAGGGCCTGGCCTGGGCTCCGTCACTGCGTCGCAACCATTCAGAATTCAGAGACATTCCAACTCCGTCCCGAAACTTCATCCTTTTTTTGCACACTCGCACCTCTCCTTTGGGACGCTAATCGTCGCCCTCGCCGGATACATCGACATCCTCCTCACTCCGCACCCAAATAACCACCACCTTTGGCCGCTCGCGTGTAAATAGTGCGAATCTGGATTTGAATTTACGTCAACCTCCATCATAGACACATCTGGCTAGAAGCCACCAATCCCTCGCATCCTCAACGACCCTTGGACCCTGAATCTTCTTCTCGCCTCGAGCATATAATTACACCGACATACGAACTCCCCAAAATCGAAAGCCACCATGTCTCTCCCCCAGACGAAGCCAACCCAATCTTCCATAAAATCCTTCTTCCAACCCCGCCAACAACCGTCTTACGCACCTCCTCCGTCATCAACCAAGTTCACCCCGGCACCCGCAGCTCCTCCTCCAGCTGCAGCTGCCCCTCCCCCCGCAACGCAAACCCCCACCTCGACAGCAACGACACCATCACCACCACCTCTCGCGACAGCTTCGTCCGTCCACCCGTCCGCACAGATCCGCCCTGTCACCCCGACAGACATCCAAGCTCTCCGCCGCATAAACTCCCTGCTGCTCCCCGTCGCCTACCCAGAGCAATTCTACGCTGGCGCCCTCCAAGGCCCCTTCTCCCGCGTAATAACCTGGTCCGACACTTCCTCCTCTTCGACAACCACCCAAGTAATCGGCGGCGTCGTCTCCCGAGTCGAACCCTCCCCCTTTCCGCCGACAACAATCTCCTCGGAGCCCGAACACGCCCTCTACATCCAGTCCCTGGCCCTCCTCTCCCCGTACCGCTCCCACGGCCTCGCGACCGCAACGCTCGATAACATCATTGCCGCCGCCTCCTCCGTCCCGGGCGTCAACCTCCGCCACGTCTACGCACACGTCTGGACAGACAACGACGAGGGCATAAAGTGGTACACCTCCCGCGGCTTCGAACAGTTCGGCGACGAACTCAGGGGCTACTATATCAAGCTCCGCCCAGACTCGGCTTACATCGTCCGCCGCTCCATTGGACCGCTGTCTCTGTCTTCCAGCAGTCACCGCCACAACCAAACCTCAACAATGGCCGCCCCCATCCCCGCCGGTCCCACCGCCGCCGTCGCGAACCTCCCTCCGATGAATACCCGCATAGCCGCAGGCGCGAATGGCGATACGGACAGGCCCCTGATGACGCCGTCGGGCCAATCGTTCCAGAACCGACGCGCCGAGACGGAGTGGAACGATCTGCCGGCCGACATGGCGCCGCCCATGCTCGCGCCGCCGCGGAGCAACAGCGCCTCCGGTGCGAGCTCGCGAAGCAGCTCGGCGGCGAGGAAGAAGAAGGATCGCGCGTACCCGGCCGCTGCTTTCCAAAGTTAGAACTCGAGGATTTGAAAAGGATTGATTAATGGGCTAAAGTTGATAAGAATAGATGAGATGGCGTTGGGACTGAATCAAATCATTTAGCAGGATTACTCCAGACACTTTGCGCTAAGCATCACCATAGATCAAGAAGGAAATAGAGACCAAAAAAAGGATGCCACAAGACGTTTCTTCTTTATTCCAGAAGGAGCCAATGTACAACTTTGAACAAGTAGTAGAACAACAAAACAGAAAATTCGAAGTTTGCTCTTCCCAACTCCATGACCCCAGCTTCGAATATGGAAAATTCGAACGTCCAAAAAGAATTTTGAAAAAAGAATCAAGAACAGCATGCTGAAAATGCTTGCCCAGCCAGAGTGGTGGTGGGTGGTCTCTGCTTTTTGTCCCACCTTCCCTTGTTCCCAAATGCTTTGCCTCCACCCGCCGTCATTCTTCCTTTCTTTTCACACGTACACACATTCATGACAGTTCATCCCATCATCCACACTCATTGACGATTATAACGAGACCACCACAGGGCCCCAATGGCTGCAACACCCACTGCGCCTCCAATGGCCAGTGTTGTGTTGGAAATTGCGGGCTCCTCGCCTAGAAGGAAGCACAGAGAGGTTAGTTTGAGGGGACAACAACGGGGATTGTATCGGCGTTTTCGCAGTGCTCCGTCACCGGTGCAAGACACTTACGTGGTGTTGGGATGGTATCGAGCTCGCGCTTGACGTTCTGTCTGAACTCCGTCAAGACGTCCGAGTCCTTCTCCATGCCAGCCGCCACGAGGGCAATTAGTGCAGCGCCAACGCCGCTGCCATCCTTGGCAATGCCAATACGAATCTTCTCAGCACCCTTGGCTCCAATGCTGTCAATCGCGCGCAGGGCCTCGTAGATCATGTCGCGGAAGAAGGGGTAGTGCTCGACCAAGCTGCCGTCGACACCAATGTCAATGACCTCCTCGTTGGGGTCCTCAAGCTTGCCGGACTGGATGACAATGCCAGCGATGGCGACAGCGGAGAGACGGGCAGCGCGGCGACCAACAGCGCCAGCGACAGCCTTGAAGGCCTGGGCGTCCTCGAGAGAGGGGCTGTACACGTGGAGGACCGACTCGAGCTCTTGGCGGAGAGTGGAGAGCTCCGGGGTGTTGTCGGCGGCAGCAACAGACATGATGGCGCTGTCGAGACCCCACTGCTTGAACATGCCGGACTGGGGGCTGATGTCGGTGGTGGACTTCCAGTCGTTGAAGCTCGAGTTGGCGTCCTTGAAGAGGGACAGCTTCTCGTCCTTGAGCATGTCAAGGATGGTCAGTCTGACGATCTCGCCCAAGAACATGCCAGATACGCGCTTCTCGAACATTTGGATACCGGGGTTCACACTGTCCTTGTCAAGCTGAGCATCCCAAGGGGTGTTGGGAAGAATATTGAGCTGGTTGTCGAAGGAGCCCCACTCGACGTTGACGACCATTTCGCCGGTGGCAGCCTCGTAGTCGCCAACAATGGGCTTCTTGATGTTGGACAGCTTCTCGAGGTAGGCGCCGTTGGTGCCGGTACCGAAGATGGCGCCGAGGATCGAGCCAGACTTGCCGGTGGACGTGTAGGATCTCGCCATAAGAGTTCCGACGGTGTCGTTGACGAGAGCGGCGACGCGCACGGGAAGGTGCAGCTTGTCGATCTCGGTCTGCAGCAGGGCGCAGACATCCTTGCCGACGGCATCGGGGATGTCGAAGCCCTTGGTCCAGCGAATCAGGTTGCCCTTGTTGATACCGAGCTGCTGGACGGGGAAGGAGAAGGTAAAACCGAGGCGGAAGACATGCTCGTCGCGGTAGCCCTCGGGGGCGCTGTAGGTCTGACGACGGCGGACGTGCTGCTCGAAGTGTTCGGCGTGGTGTTCGCGCAGGAAGAGCTCAATCTGCTTGGCCAGGAAAGAGAACAGGTCTTCGGCCTTCTTGGCGACCATCAGCTCCTTGGGGATCGCGACCTTGCTGTATGTGAGGTTGAAGGTGGTGTCACCGTTCAGCTGAACGGAGCACACGCGGAAGTTGGTGCCGCCGAGATCAACGGCCAAGTAAAGACCCTGCGGTCGTCAGCATTGGCGTGAGGGGAGTTGGGGAGCTTTCTCCGCTGCTGTGTAATTACCTTCTCGGTGCCATTGGGGACACCAGTGACGTAGGTCGGGATTTGGGACAAGCTCGTTCCGTCCTTCTCGAGGCCCTCGTCTGCAGAAATTGCTCGCGTTAATTTTCAATTCTTTGCGGGGTTATTCGCGCCTTCCCGCAACCAGACAGCTCAAGGTGTTTTGCGCTGTGCGCGCACACTTATTCGCGCACAGAGCATCGCCCAGCTGGGAGCTCCAGCAAGGTAGCTTAGCTGCAGGGGGAAGGAAGCAACGCAAGCAATTGCTTCGGGAGGGAGGGGTCATTCGACTTACGCATCTGGCCGAGGAACTCCGTCACAGCTTCGTTCAAGTAGACATCGGTGACCTCGAACTGGTCGACGACACGTTTTGTCTCTGCTTCGAGCGCCATTGTGAGTGGTTTTGAGATTGGAGGCGTGGTTGGGAACGGCGCGGGGTTCTCGCAGACTGGCTCCTGGAATATTTGAGCCGAAGGGGAGTAGAATGGAGGAGAAGGATGGAAGAATGGGTGTGAGGGGAAAGAAAGAGAGGAACGAAGTTGTTGGAGCTGTAGGTGTTGAGGAAGGAGTTGGAGCTTGGCGTTGCCGAGAAGGAGCTGCGCGAGCTGTGAGGAGGAAGAGGAAGAGAGAAGATTAGTTTATGAGCTTGGCTAGCAGACGCCTTTCGTCATGGAGGGTGGATGGATGTTAAGGTGGGTGGGTAGGCAAGGTAGGACAGTAAGGTAGGACAGCCAAGGGAGATAGATGATGGGATTCTCGGAAATAGGTATGGATGAAGATGGGAGGTAAGGATGTGAGGGTATACAAAGGTAGAGACAAAAAGTCAACAAAAATAATGAGAGGGCTTAGGGGAGGGAAGAGCGGGAGCTTCGAGGATGATGTATGTGACGAAATCGCAGAGGAATGGACGGGGGACGGGGGTGGTCAATTGGCATGGAGCGGAACATGGAGCAAGGAGCATGGAGTACGGAGCACACGCGTGGAGCAAGCTGGAGCCCCAGCAGGCATGTCGCTAGCGCCTCAGCACGTAAGGTAAGGCAAGGCCAGGCCAGGCCCAAGTCAGATACCTTGCACACACGCTACAGAGTGCCTCTTTCAGTGAGGAGTGTGCTTGAAGAAAAAAAAAGAAATCGCGGGAGAATGAGGTAATGATGTGGTGGGGTGACAGGCCTCGTGCATCTGTCTTCCAGAAAATCCCCCCCAACGCCGCACACACACGACTTTCCAGCTGGGTAGCCTGGTCCCCGGGCTTGGTAGGGGATTGCTGCAACTTGGCCACGACGTTGGTCTGAACATGCATGAGGAACTGTGGCCGTCTGATCTGACCTGACTGACAGTTCATGATTCTGACAGTTCGCCGAGAACAGCCCAGCCGAGCCAAGGGCCAGGACCGGAACACACTGATACTGCAGTGCCTTGGTACCTAGGTAGTTGCAGAACAAGACGGGGGAGAGAGCTGGCCTGCCAGAACCCGGAGCTGGCGGTTAACCCCAGAGGAAAACTGCATCCCAATGGCTACTCTCAGCGCAACTTGCAGATGGAAATGCGGTTGCAGAGCTGCAAGTCTCTCGACTGGGGCAGCACGGAGCAACAAGCTGCGTGTTGGAATCGCGTCTTGGACAGCAGCACCCTCTACGCCTGACAAGCAACATATCGTCTCAACATCCCGCTATGGCTGGATGCAGCGAAGCAGTGCAGCAGCGTCAGGCAGGCAGGTAGGTAGCGTGACGTGAGGCGACGACAGCTGGCTGGACACCAGGTTCTTGGTCCTTGGTCCTTGTCCTTGTCCTTGGGAGCTGCGGGGAACGTCCAATGTCAGGCTGCTGGGTCCAGTCGAGCAACCAGGTGCTTGGCCTTGGGTCCTCACTGAGGTGCCTGCCCACCAACAACAACACCGTCTGCTGCGAGACCTCGTCATGCCCGCCAAAAACAACAGACAGGCACTGACACGGACCAGAACCCGCCCGCCGCAAGAGGAAACACGCTGGAAAAAACTCGGCGCCGGAGTTCGACCACGCCCATCCAGCCTATTGGCCCGCTGGCTCAAGTTCGGCCCCTCCGCTGTCCCCAATTGGCTTTGCCGGCGGCGCTGGGTCCAGGTCTCTGGAGCTGGAGCGGGCGGCCACTGGACACTGCATTTCCCTCGCGGTGCTTCTCGCGGGCTTTCACCGTGTCCCCTGCTTTCTCCAGTCTCCAGTCTGCAGGTGCAGCATCTCTCATCCCACACCTTCCCACGCTCGCGGCTCTTCTTCCCAAGCTCGGAAAGTCGCCTGAAGCACAAGAAGGAGGAGGGGAGGACGACCCCCGGGGGAGGGCCCCAAAAAGCTGGAGCCCCCGTGATATGCACCGAGAAAAGGTCGGGCAACGTCGATGGGCGAACAACTCATCCGTCCCCCAATCGTTTGTGATGATTTGCTGGTACGATGCGGGAGAGAGAGGCAACTCCAGGCACTTGCACGCCTTCCGTGGGAACCACGACACGCGAAACCACCCCGGCTCCACGGTCCCACTTCTGCGCCGAAGAAGCTCCCGTCCAACATCCACCGGGCGGGCCACCGAACATGCCGGAAATGGAGAGACGCCACTGACGAGAGGGAGAAATAGGGACATCAATTCAAACGGCAGCCACAGAAGGAAAACCCCCAATCAATGAAACGAAAAATACAGACTGTGCGCGTGCTCAGGGTGATGTGGGTAGTGGATTCAGAATGACGGGTGCTTGTTGGGACGGGGGGATGAGAATGGATCATGGAGAAAATGTGATAGAACTGGCTGTCCAAACAGAAGGAAATACGGCGACCGCAGGCCGGGTACTTACAAGAACAAGCACTAATAACACGACCGAGCAAAGGCCGTACCAAAACGAGGAGACCCCATGGGAGACCAGGAAGCTGCTCCTCCTTCTCCGGTGCCCAGGTCCTGGAGTCTTCCTCGGTAACGTTGTTGCTGTTGCTGCTGTTGGCTGCCGCTCACTGCCGCTGCCGCCGTTGATCTCGTCCAAGCCGCCGCTGCCGAGCGTCAACACCACTTCTTCCGTGTCGTGATATGCGCCGACGACGCCGTCGTCAAAGTCATTAACGTAGTTCATGTCCTCCACTGCTACCTCGGACATCCTGTCATCCTGCATTTGCATGTGGCTGCTGTTTCCCTTGGTCTCGCGAGACACGGTCCTGGTGATGGCCGGGTCTACTGCCAAGGCCACCCGAGCGCCAGCTGTTCGGCGCTTCCCTCCCGGATGAAGCCCGACAACGTGGTCGGTGTCTGGTGTGAGTGAAATAGCGGTTGTTCCAGATGCAGGTCTCGAAGCGGGCGCGGCGCGAGACTGCCGCCTTTGCGGTGTTTTCTTTTTTCCCTCTAGACTTTCGGGACGGAACGACGGCTAAATGTCCGGCGTCCTCTCCTATCGGCGAGAGATAAAGACGTCCCGGCGTGCGAGGGGACGTTCTAGACTCTCGTAGTTACAGGCTGCGTGCAACCTGCGAGATGCGGATGGAGATGCAGGCGGGCGCAATCGCAGCAGAAGCAGCAGTCGCAATACGGTGACTGCAGCGAAGCGACGCCGCCGCTTTGCCTGGCACACGCTCACACACACCACCTAGCTGCAGCCTACAACAGCTGCTGGGCAGCAGATTGCGGCACTGGTGAGGTGAGGCTGGCGATTTCCGTCCGGTAGTAGTGCACAGTCCCAGTTTCGGCCCTTTGGAGGAGACAGCACGCGTTTAAACGGCCCGTCTGTAATTAGTTTCCCGGGTGTGACGCTGCGGATAGACGACGAGGACCCAGGTTTGCTCCCCCCAATGAGGTCATGAATGGGGATATCCCGGGGGTGGAAAGCCGCCGATGGGGGGTACTGGACTGAAGCAAGGGCTTTCTTTCGCTGGCCGCGCCAAAAATTCCTCGCTCAAAATCCCAAAAACTCTGCTGTCCTCGTGCAAGTCGCAGTTGGGCGACGGCGGGCCTCTCTTGGTTTCTGGTCTCTCTCGTTGGTTGGATTGGTGACTGAAGTAATTGGCCGTTGTAATAAAATCAAGAATTATGGGATTATGCGGATGGGGAATAATGAGGTGAGAACAGCCAGCAGGTGAAAAGGGATGGCTAATGCTGGGCGCTGGCTCGTTTCGTTTGCGTTTTCTGCTTCGTTCAATTGCTCGTGATGATTCGTGCAATCGTCCAACCAATCGATAATTCAAAAAAGTCAGGGTCCCTCCCCCAAGTCTGGGTCTCGGGGTGTGCTGTTGCGTGGTTTCTCGTTGCTGGTTTCTGGGTTCAGGCAGATCTGGCTGGGCAATGAATCGTTCGCGAATCTCACTGCACCTGGTGTCGAGATCACCGTCGAGTCGTGCGCCTTGGTTGGGTGGCTTGATCTTGGTATTAATAAACCCGCTCCTGCCTGTCGTTCCGCTGCAGGATTGCGTCCTTTCTTCACTCCGTCTCGTCTCCTACTTTTTTTGCTCTGCGAATTTCCCCTCAGCCTCTAGCGCGCCTGCAGTTGGATGTCATGCGACCACCGATAAAAACGGCTGCTGCAGTGGCTGGTTGGTAGGTTGTCGTTTGAGGAAGTTGGCAGGTGCGTAGCGCGCTTTTCTCGCTGGCGCAGAATCTCCCCTTGTCGAAGTCCAGTCCCACGTCAGAGAACTTGCAGGATCTTGATTGAGAAGAGAGCTCCGAGGGCTTCGCCAATATCCCGGTTTTCACGTTTGTTTGGCAAAAGTGGTTGTGAAGGGGGGAGACGCAGTCGAATGGGCGTCCCTTATCGCTGGTTGGCCGTTGGATGGTTACACCAAAATGATTTGGGCCAGGCGCGCAATCCGATGCTCGTGTGATAAGCCCACCACTTCTCTCCAGCGTCAATTCTGAAGAAGCAAGGGCAAAGTTGAGGAAAGACGTCGATTGGTAAAGAATGAGATGAAAGACGGGAGACACACCCCGATTGATGATCGGCAATCAGACAAGTGAATAAAGAGCAGCGACGGGAAGAGGCTGGCAGTTGATCCTTCTCTCTGCTAAAACCAACGGCCTTTTCCTTCCCCCTCTTCTCCTCCCTCAAATGCGACTTCTGCATTAAACAGTCCCCTTGGACGGTGGAGGGTGAATTTTGAGTTGGCCACTCAAATCGCTGCTCAGTCGAACCGGTTCGCAAGGGGTTCCGCAAAACAAGTGCGGTGTGGACTGCAAGAGCCGGGGTTGACGACTGCAAGTCGAAGGATCTTAAATGCACCTCACTACGAATGGCACGCCGCCACGCGAGGAGCGCTCACTCGGAATGTCAATCGCTGTCGTGCACTGTTCGAGGCCTTCAGAGAGTTGGAGGGGGAAACTTGAGGTGGACACATCGCAAAAAAGAAGCACACGATACTTGTAGGACACGGCACGCGGCAGCCAAATGCCCCGA